TCACTCACTCACTCACTCATTCACTCACTCACTCATTCACTCTCACTCATTCACTCACTCAGTCATTCACTCATTCAGTCATTCACTCACTCATTCATTCACTCACTCAGTCATTCACTCACTCACTCAGTCATTCACTCACTCAGTCATTCACTCACTCAGTCATTCACTCACTCACTCACTCAGTCATTCACTCTCACTCACTCATTCACTCTCACTCACTCATTCACTTACTCAGTCATTCACTCACTCACTCATTCACTCACTCACTCATTCACTCATTCACTCACTCATTCACTCATTCACTGACATAGCAAGCCCACCATGAGTCCCTGCTCGGTGTCAGTCACACTGGGCACTGGGGATCCACAGAGACATCGGGATTGACCCACTCCTCACATACCCTCAGTCTAATGAGAGTCCACAGACAGACACACAGGCAACCAGTGTCCTAACAGAGGAGCCTGGGTGCTGAGGTGCCCAGGGCTGGGTTCTGAGCCTGGGCATTCTGAAGACCCTTCACAGAGGAGGTGTCTCTGAACTTGGTCTTGCCCAGTGAGGTGAGGGAGGCCCCAAGCTGCTGGTCTTGTGAGACTGGGCGAGGGGGCTGCTGAGCAGAGAGAGGCTGAAGGAGCTACAGGGAGGGCTCCCGTGCCTGGTGCCCCAGTGCAGCCAGGAGGAACGGTATGAGAGTGGGCGGGGCCCGGGCCTCTCCACACCCAAGACCCTAACCCCTTCCACTCTCTCAGCCTGATGTCTGGCCTCGCTTCCCTGGATCCCAAGACCTCCAGCCGCCTGGGCATCCTCACCGTGGCCTACTACCTGTGGACCACCTTCGTGGCAGTCATCGTGGGCATCATCATGGTCACCACCATCCACCCGGGTAGTGCAGCCCAGAAGGAGACAACTGAGCCCAGCGGCAAGGCCATCATGAGTTCGGCGGACGCCCTGCTGGACCTCATCCGGTAACCCTGCTCAGGGTGCCCTGCCTGGGCGGCCCCAGAGTGGAGGGAAGCCGTGGGAGGGTGGTGGTCAGAATCTGGGAACTCGGGTGGTAGCCACGGAGGTCACTAAGAGGCCATGATTGGCCGGGTGCGTTCAGGGCAGCGGCCAACTTTTACTGAGCCCGCTCTGTGTGCCGGCAGCCCTGCTGTCCCTCGCCCTGCACGGTTGGTCCCAGGCTGGGAGGGCTGCCCCAGAGCAGGCAGCAGGAAGTGTCTGTACAGGGACGGACCGCTTCCCTGACCTCCCTCGCAGCTTCCACGGTAGAAGGACAGCAGCAATTGTCCTGTCTGCTTCATGGGTCCTGTTTACAGATAGGGTCCCTGATGACTAACCTTAAGAGTGGCAGGTTTGGACTCCCCCAGCAGAGCCTCGGAAGAAAGGCCTGGTGATCTGCTGTGTAAAGATGAAAACAGACACAAACCAAGCCCATCTCCGTTGAGTTGATTCCGACTCATGCCAGCCCCCGTGGGATCCGCAAAGACCGCCAGCCCATGGTGAGATGGCGTGGGGCAGTTCCACCGCCCCCCACGAGGGCGCCCCGAGTCAGGATCAACTGAAGTTAACAGAGGCTCACACAGGGGAAGTGAGTTGGGTTGGCTCACCCAGCTGATGGAGAGGTCAGCGGTTCTAACCTACCAGCCACTCCCAGGAGAAAGATGAGGGTATCTGCTCCCATCAAGATTATAACCAGAGGGGTCTTTCTTAAAACCCATCACATTTCACCCCAAATGACTGCCTTCACTGTGCCCGCTCCCCCACCCCAAGTGCTTTCTGATGCCCACCCCCCCCACCCCCACCACCGCTGCACCCTTGCCTCTTACCTCCGTGAGCTCTGCACCCACTTGCCCTCACCCGGCTCTCCCCAGCCTCCCCAGCCTGCAGGCTGCTCTCTGGGCTGCTGCCTCCCTGCCGATGGCCCTGCCTACACAGCCCCTGGACCTGCCTGCCTTCCCTGGTCTCTGCCAGGGCACCCTCGCCAGAGTCACCCTCTCCTTATCCAGTTCTCTTCCTGACAGCCTTGGGGGGTTGGGGCTGGCCTTTGCTGCCGAGTGCATTCCTCCCCCAACTCTGGGGACCCGGTGTGTGCAGAGCGGAGCAGGTCTGCGGGCTCTCCAAGGCAGGCCGCCAGCGCGTCTTCACAGACACTGCCTAGGGCTTCAGCTCCTGGTAGAGGGTTTGCCCTCTGCCCCACTCGAGACCCTCCCTAGCCTCCAGCGCCATTGTGCATGCGTGCATCTGAGCAGACCTCGTGGCCTGGCAGTGGAGCCTCGGGCTGGATTTGAACCCACTGGCCTCTGCTCAGGAAGAGGAGGAGGAGGAGGAGGCAACCTGTCCCCTCAAGGTGGTCAAGCTCGGGACCCTGAGGAGCGACTCTTCTCTGCCCTATGGGGTTGCTGTGGACAGCGGGAGGGTGTGTGTGTGTGTGTGTGTGTGTGTGTGTGTGTGTGTGTGTGTGTTGGGCAGGGCTTCCTTTCTTTTCCTGACTTCCCCACTGGGATGAACTAGTTAAACACAGGTCAAAAACGTGTGTCCTGCTGCGGCCCCGGAGCCAGGCCCTAAGCAGGTGCCTGCCAGTGTCTGCTGCACACACTCGGAAGTAGGGCCTGCAGAGCCGGTGGCTGAAGCCCCAGGAGGGGACAGAAGTGCACAGGGTGGTGGCCCAGAGCCTCGGATAAGCCTTGCCTGCCCTGCCACGCGAGGGCCTGCTGAGTGAGGGGCAGGAGCCAGCGGGAAGGCAGGGAGGGCAGAGCAGCTGGCCTGCTAATGCAGAAGAGGTGTTTCAAGAAGGCTCCTGGGTAGGATCCACTATTTTGAAGATTTCCCAACTGGACGTCATCCTTTCTTGGATGATTCAAAACAGCTTTTGATTCAAAACAGTTTTTGATTCAAAACAGTTTTTGCTGGTGGTGGAGGCTGCAGTTGGTGCGGGGAACCCCGCCCTCCCGTGCAGCCTCCCTCCCCCTCTCCCCACCCCGGCGGGGCTGCTCAGGGGCTGCAGGCTGTGGCCGGGACACACGTGTCAGTCACCCCTTCCAGGGGCACTGCCTCGGGTTTGAGACTTTTCCTCGGTTGCTCTCAGCGCAGAGGCAGTCTGGTTTGCAGAGCGGAGCAGTTGGACAAGTGTCCCCGTTTCTTGGTCAGAGGCTAGAGCTGCAGGGAGAGGGCCCATGGCCCTGGGGGCAGAGAACCAGGCCCCAGGAGTCAGGTTCTCAGCTCAGTTCTGCCAGGAAGTCTCTGTGTGGCCAGCTCCCCTCTCTGGGAAGACGCCCTCCAGCTCCCAGCAGCTCAGGCTTTTCATGAGCAGGAGCTTCTGGAAGGGGGTGGGCTCAGGGGGGGAGTTCAGGACAGAACAGGGTCCAGCTTTGAAGACCCCCAGTGCCAAGCCGAAAGCTCGGCCGTGTGGATTGGGACATGCGAATCGGATGAGTTTGGGCAGAATGGACGAGGCCAGGGAGGAGCGGACAGGATGATGGGGGTCTGGGAGGTGTGCGGTGACTTCCTGTCATCCAAAAAGCAAAACCAAGCTCACAGCCATGATGTTGAGCGTGACGCACAGCCACCATGGGACCGCCGGGCTGTTCCTCCAAAGGGCCCCCGTGGGTTCCCAAGACTAACTCTTTACGGGGTAGAAAGCCTCATCTTTCTCTCGCGAAGCAGCTGGTGGTTTCAAACTACTGACCTTGCGATTAGCAGACAACACGTAACCACTACGCCTCCAGGGCTCCTCCCCCTTCCATCCGGCTCACCTTTCTAAGCGTGGGCGGGACAGCTGGCCTCTGGGGCCCTGTCCAATTCTGAGGCTCCGGGAGGCTGTGCTGAAGGGAGAGGCTGGTAGGGAGGCACCAGGGGCCTCCTCGCGCATGTTCTGGCCCAGAGCGGGTGCCCAGTGAGTGCTGGTGCCGGGCGAGAGCTTCTATGACCAGGGCAGAGGTCTGGGAGCTGGGGTGATGACGTGACAAATGGACAGTCAAAGAGGTGTGGGAAATCAGGCCTCATGGCACCCCTCAAGGTGTGCAGTTATGTTCCATCCAGGGGGACACAGCAGGCCGGCCCCAGGCAACCAAAGGCTCCCAGTGGGGAATCAGAGCTGGCCACCTCTGTTTCCCTCACAGCATAGGTCGTGACATGGCTCGGCTTACCTCGCAGGCCCTGCTCAGGGACTAGCCAAAGTTCCCAGGATCCCTCACACTTAGAAAGCAATCCCTTCCCACCTTGGGGATGTGGGGTGGGGCAGCGATGAGGGATGAGTTTGGGACTGTCCCAGGGCACAGAGAGGTGTTCTCCAACCCTGCCCAGAGAGATGGGCAGAGGGCAGGGGGACTTGACACACAGGGCTGTCTTTTCCCAGGCCCACTGTGTGTATTTCCCCCACTGCACCAGGAGAAGGGGGCCTGGGGTGCGGTGGATAAGCACTTCCTAGGCTGCAGTTGGAACCCCACCCCCACCCTGCCCAACCTCTCCAGGGGACAGAGCTGTGGCAGGCTGCTTCCGTGAAGACCAACTGTGAAGACAGCCTGGGGAATGTTCTAGGGCAGTCTGCTCTGCCCTCCAGGGGTGCTATGAGCCCAAACTGTCTCTCCAGCAAGGAGTTTGGTCGCCAGGAGCACAGACCTCCAGGGGCAAACAGAAAGCCTTCTTCTTTTTTTTTTAAATTACTTTATTGGTGGCTCATACAGCTCTTGTCACAATCCAGACATCCGTCCATTTGGTCAAGCACATTTGTACATTTGTTGCCATCATCATTCTCAGAACATTTGCTTTCTACTTGAGCCCCTGGTATCAGCTCCTCCCGAAAGCCTTCTTGCAGGGGTTCAAAACTGAGAGAAATATAGGCGGCTTTTTCTACCTATTGACTAATCAGGGGTGTCATTCCTTATGAAAACCTGCAGAATACGCTCGTTGACCATCCTTCTGAGCACATGGATACGTCTGGAATTCCTTGGGCTGTTAAAAAAAAGTCCAGTTGCTCTCGAGTTGACCCCGATTCACGGTGATCTCGTGCATGTCAGTGCAGGCTGTGTCCCCATGGCTACTTTGCCAGGTGGATTGGCAGGCCCTTCTTCCAAGGACCTCGAAGTGTGTTCACTGCCGGACTCTTGTCTGTTAGATGAAGAGACCTCTGTAAGAGCAGAGGTTTCATAAGATTAAAGTCTACATTTTCCCTGTATCAGCAGCCCAGGAGCTGGCAGCGCGTGGTCGTTCACGGTTCCACGCTCCCTCCACCCTGAGCTCTGCCGCGCTGAGCAGGCGGCTCTCACTCTGAGTGTGGTCTCCTGGCCCCAGAAGGTGGCTCGAGCACCAGCTATGGTGTCCACAGTCCAGGCAGAAAGAAGAACTTTTCAGGAAAGAACTCGAAGGTCCCAGCTTGAATGGGCACATTGTTTAAGAGTTGGCCAAGAAGTCAACGTGCTGCATTAACATCTCATTGGCCAGCCCCGTGGGCAGAGGGGCTGGGAGGAATGAGGCCTGACATCAGGTCGCAGTTGGTCCCATAACATCACGGGGCCCCTGTTGGTAAGGAAGGAGGGGAGAATGGAGACGGGGTGCACACTCACCGTCCCTGCCTATCCGGACACAGTCTTTGCATTATTCTAACCGGAAGGGAAGCGGCAATGAACTGCATGGCGCAGGCATTCGTTCCGTTTGATTTCTTGGGCCCCTTTTAATGTTCTCCATTTCCACTCAGCCAGAGGCAGCCTTCCCTCTGAGTTTCCCTGGAAAACAACCTCGTAAGTCACATGAAGCTTCTGGGGCTTCCACTGAGGAGAGATTTTTCTGGATGCTATTTAATATTGAATATTCCGGGCAGAACGCGCATCCTCCCTCCCAGCTGTGTGCCTGGCATGCGCCCAACCCTCAGCAGGCACCACCGCTGGCTCCTGGGCTTGAGTCTGTGTAACGTTGAGCCTTACACGCAGCGACCATTGTCCCGGCAGAACGCCACTCGAAACTCACTCAC